GGCCCAGGAGCCTCTGCTCCTCATCCTGCAGGCCTCAGGGTATAGCGATTCAGCCTAAATCCTGAGCGAGATTCACAAGTCCAGCCTCCCAGCCATGATGTCCAGGTCAGGGACGGACTCCTCAACCTGCTGCTGACTATTTTTAACAGCCATCACTATGGCAGCGTAAGAGTCACGGGAAGGAGGTGGCCTTCCTGACAGCAGCGCAGACAGGGCTCTGCTCCTTGGTGAGTCCCCGTGAGCCATACCAGACCTAGCTGGGCCTCTGTCTCTCTGTAAGAGGAGGGCCTGGCAGAAACCCCCAACCCAGTGGGCTGTGGTTCCACCCGCTGATTGTCCGCTTTGGTTTATGTTTTTTTTTTGCTCACGTCTGCAATACACAATGCTCACATGGTCCCGGGGCTCACACACCTCCATCACACACCTTCATCCTCTGTTTCGGTCTCCTGACCCCCACGCCAGCCCTTCTTCCCTTCCCCTCTTACTAAAGCTCTCCATTTTTCCAGTGGCCCTTCAATTCTTTTCCTTTAATGCTTTTTCCCTTCCTTCTCTCTCCCCTCCCTCATCTCTCGTCCCCCTTCCCATCTCACCAGATTCTTCCTGCTTCCTGATATCTTCCCTCTCTTTTGCTCCTTATTTATACTTTGAGTTTCTCACACAAGAGAAACACTGTGATATTTAGCTTGTGTCCTATTTGTGTCATTTAAGATTCTGTTCTGGGGACATATCCGTCTTCCTATAAATGTCTCAAGGTTATCCTTCTTTATGGCAGAACAGCCCTCCATTGTGTGTAAAGACCACATTTTCTTTACCCCTCATCTGTTGATATGCATGTGGGCTGTTTCCAATGTTTAGTGAGTATAAATTGTGCTGCTATAAACATGATTGTGCATGTATCACTGTGGTATGATGTCTTTATCTCTCTCTTTTTCTCTCTGTTGCTGCTGTTGTTTTCAGACAGGGTGTCGGCTATGTGGTGCAGGCTGGCCATGAAATCACTGTGTGACCCCAGGATGGTCTCAAACTCACAGTGATCCTCTTGCCGCAGCCTCCCGAGTGTGGGGCAGCAGGAAGGGCCCTGCAGGCACCTCTTCCTGCACAGCCACCTCTGCTTCGCCTCCTGCTTCCTTCTGCACCAGAACCTGACGGCCTCCTCTGGTCAGGGTCTCCTTCTGGTGTCCCATCTATGCGCCCTTTTCTGCTCCTCCAGGAGAGGACATTGCTTGAATTTTGAAGCAGGAGGCAGGGAGTGTGGCACTGGCCTGGCTGAAGCCCCTCAGCTGGGGGATTCGGTGTCTTGCTGAGCTGTCTCTAGAGAGGGAAGGAGGGAACTTTCCCAGGAGAGAACCAGACTGCCCAGGCCAGCTTTGGTCTGAACTGGACTCTGCAGAGACAGAAGACACAGACCTGTGCCCAGAGGCCTGCTCTGCAATCTCTCCTTGAGAAGCCTAAGAATTCTTCTACCTGGGAAGCAGAGGTCCTGTGTTGTGGTTCCCAGGGTTTGCTAGGACAGAGAACCTTCATCCCAGGGAAAATGCCTCAAGAAAACCGAAAGTACTTGCAGGCTTTGCCAGGGCTGCCGAGGACCAGTCACCCATTCACCCTGCCCAGCTTGCACGCAAGTCATCCAGTTTCCTCCCCAGGCTTGTTTTAAAAATACTGTTCTAATACAAAGAATTTCAAAACATCAGTCCTCCAAAACTCAAAGACCCTCTCCAAAAATGGGCATCTGAGATGAACACACAGTCCTCAGATGAAGAAATACAAATGGCAAGTGAATACATGAAGAGATGTTCACATCACTGGTCATTTGTGCAATGCAAACTAAAACAGTATTGAGATTTCATCTCACTCTGGAAAGAATGGCTGCCATCAAGAGATCAACTGCCTCCCCAATCAAATGTTGGTGAGGCTGTGGGGGAAAAGGAACACTGCTCCACTGTTGGTAGGAGTGTACACTGGTGCAGCCACTGTGGAAATCAGTGTGGAGATTTCTCAGAAGACTAGTTTGGAAGTTCCATTCATATGTGTGCGTGGGGGGGGGTATTTATTTGTGGAAACGTATATTTATTCCATGAATATATACTTTTAGGAAAAAAGCATCATATTAAATGAGAACTCAGAGTCAGTCATCAGACTGCCTGGCTTTAATCCTGGCTGTTCTTTGTTCCTGTGTGGTTGTGATCCTAACTCTGTGTCCCTCAGTTTCCTAATCTGTAAAAAGCCACGCTGGTTTGGTTTTTTTGAGACAGTAGCTCATCATGCAGCTCAAGGCAACCTTGAACTCACTGCATAGCACAGGCTGGTTTTGAATTGCAGCAGTCCTCTTGCCTCGGCCTCCTGAGTGCTAGACAGGCATGTGCTACCAGCTCCTCATGGGCTGTATTTTTGCAGCTGGCTCCCTTGTCTTCACTCTTCCTGCCCTTTACCCATTTTCTGCACTGTCCTTTCAAATTCCATGTATTGGCTTCTTCCAGCCAGTTGTTAAAGACAATTAAAATGCTCACTTACCAAACACTCAAGGCAGCCAGCTCTTGAACAACCAGCAGCGCAGCTTGCTGCGGGCCGAGCCCTGTCCTCTGCGGGCTGTGCTCCCAGGAGCTTCCCTCACCACCACCTGCACCCACAGCTATCCTACCTCAGCCTAGCTGCTGCCCCCAGTCCCCGGGGACCTGGATGCCGCGAGGTGTTGCCTTCAGCCCGCCCTGCGTTAGGCGCTGATGCTCTTCCTCGTCCTCCCTGATGGGTGCTCTCCTGCCTCGGGGTCTCGCTTTGCCCCTTCTGCCCACCCTTGCGGTCTTCTCCCCGCATCACACGTACAGCTTTCTATGTTTACTGGGGATTGAGCCCAAGGCCTCCACACTGGGATGTTCCTCCTCATTTTTTGTTAGAAGCCACCACACTGCTCCCTACGTGCTCTCAGGGACCCCACCCATCTCCTCGATGACACCAGCAAAAACATGAGCTTTTGAAGACAGGACTTGCTGTTCCACAGAGAACATTGGGTCACCCCAGATCTCCTCACCTGCAGAACTCTTTTTTTTGTCTTTACTTTGCATCTGTGTGCCATATTGCTAGGTGGGGTCGCAACAATACTTTCTGTGGATGCTTCAGTAATTTTTAATAAATTTTTTGCCACCGTCTCACTAAGTTGGTCAAGTGCCCAATTGGGCTCAAACTTCCCATCCTCCTGACTCAGCCCTCTTGGATGCTGGGATTACAGGTATGTGCCACCATGCCCAGCTGGCTTTTCTATGTGAAAGTGTTTTTCTGTCTTCTTTCTTAGTCTCTTCTGCTCTCTGGGATGCTGGCTGGACTCTCCCACACCCACAGCTTCATTGCTTTGTTGATGAGGGCAGTTTCCAAATCTCTCTCTCACACCACTCTCCTGGGCTCCGGATCCATGGGCCCAACTGGATATCGCACAGAACTTTTGCATCAGTAAGTCTCACAAAGATCCGTCCCTCTGCTTTGGTTTCTGTCTTTGGAGAGGCTAGAGCCTTCTCTCCAGCAGCAGTTACATTAGTGGTTGGGCTATAGGATATGAAGTTGTGTAACATAAATGTGAATGTAATAGAAAATTAGCAAAAACTTTGAATCAGTTAGTAGCCTATTGCTATATGGAGACAGGAATGCTCTGAGATAAACTGTGCTCATCCTGCCATCACATCATTAGAGCGCTAAACTAATCAGCCTTGACTGTCTGTGTCAAGTTGTTGCTCCCAAATACCTGGTCAACCTGGCCCAGTCCAGAGGCAATGTCTGTGTTTTCCCACCTAACAATGTACCCTGTTTTTCTGACTTGTTTCAAGGCCTTTCTGCCTAGACCAGATGAACCCAGTCAAGGACACATGTAACTCCACCCACTGTGCTCAGCACCCCTCCCCAGAATTTTCCTGTCTTATGATAATTCCTTTAAAGTAGATCTTCCTTTAAAATATTATCTTCCAGATAATATACAACTTATCTCATGTAATCTATTATATCATAATCTGCTATCAACTTTTGTACTTCCTGCTTGCAAATCCTGTATAAACCAAATCCAAAGAAGACTCATGACTGGTGATTTAGAAGTGATCTTCCTGCCCGCCTGCTGGTGTAATAAGCTTGCTTCCAGCTCCTTGGTACAAGGTGTCTTCCTTCGGTTTGGGACTGGGATTCGACAACAGTTGAAGGCTGTGTATGCAGGGCAGCTGGGCTTCCTACGTCCTCAGCACTGCAGATGCTGCTCTGCTGTCTGTATTAGGTGACCTTGATGCTTTGATAGACAGATGAGCATGATTAATTACTAATTAAGTATATGGGTTTACTGCCTTCCATGGGGTGCTCTGGCTGCAAGGACTTTAAAAATCATCTGACACAGCTGGGAGCCAGAGAGGGCTCTATGTCCCTTGGCACATTTCCAGAGGTACAGAGAAGACTGTGCCCCTTACCATACAAATGGTACCATTTCTCCTGGGGCCACTTGGCCAAGCTACCAAGACATCTTTGTCTTGGTAAGAGTCTCAGCTGGATTCAGGTTGGGACCTGACACTCCTGGTGCTCTCCAGAGCCTCTCTTCAGATCCTGTAGGGAAAGAAGGGTTCACCTTGGGCACTGAGGACTTTCCTAACTGGGGGTGATTCCCCACCGTGTTACAGCAAGATGCGTGCTCAAAGAGTGGCTGATGGAATACTGCTGTCCCATGGAGGAGGATAAACTGAGTCATTCAGAGGAAAATGGATGCATCTTGAGACCATAACATTAAGTGAAATAAATCAGAAACACAAGCATAAACATTGCATGGTTTCTCTTATAGGAGAAACCCAAAGTATAAATACATTTTAAAAAAAGAAAAGATAATAGGAAACAGGGATATATATCTTTTTCAAAGTGAAGGGGACTAAGAAGAGAGAGGGAGGGAGGGAAGAGGTGGAGAAGGGGAGGTGACAACAGTGTTTTGTACACTCACCAGCTCCCACGATGGGTGCAACCATCACAACCTTCAGATGTGGACTAATAAAAGATTTATTTCAGAAATACAAAGCATGCCCGGGAGAAAGAGTAGCACAGTGAATCTGCAGAGCTGTCATGAAACTGCAGCTTGGGCTGGTCGTGCCTGTCTTCTCCCTGTCATGGGTTGTGGTTGTCTTGGTTTAGTTTCATTTTACATCTAGACTATTTTAAATTAGGATTTCTCAAAAATTTTGGTTTTAACATTCCTTTGCAGTTTTACAAAATGATGAGACCCTGAAGAGCTTTTGTTCATGAAAGCTGATGATTTTATATTCATAAAACTGAGAAACCTTAAAATATTTAACATGTTTAACAATAACACATCTATTACTTGTTCATATAAATGACATATTTTAATAAAAACTATATTTTACGAAACAAAAAGAGTGGCACTGTTTAACCTTTTACAAATCTCTTCAACGTCTAGTCAAATACAGACACTGGGTTCTTAATGTCCCCTTCTGCATTGTTAGCTACTATTTGTTGTTTGAAATAAATAGAGAAACCTGGCCTCGCACAGATATGCATCTGGAAAATGAGACATATTTAGTTGTCTTTTCAGATATTTGTGGATATTTTTTCTTGACACTGGATTTGATGCAGCAGTATCTGAATTGCTGGTTTGGAAACCTCGGGGAAACCTGCACACACCCTCCAGCAGCACTGGCTGCTAGTTATTGGTTCCATGGCTGATTTTAGCAGTCATTTATATCAGCAGTAAAGTCACGGGCTTGATTGGCTTTGCTGTACATGATGAGACTGTGGTAACAAACTTAGTAGTCACCTTAACTAGCTCAAACGGTTAAAATGCTGAGCCTTCACTTGGGCCCCACAGGTGACCTTTTGATGTAGGAAGCCAAGTGCGCTCTGCCCATGCATGTGAGGAGCCAGGCAGTGCTGGCCACCTCGCCCTTCACTTTCCTGACTCCAGTCACCCTGCCCCGTACCCTCGTCCTCTGCCCTATCAAAGCCCTGAACCTGTCTTGGGGAGGAGAACTTGACATTTGGGGCATCATCATGGTTTGTATCTAGATGTTCTCCAAAGCCTCATGAGCTCAGTGGTGGGACTTTTGGAAGGTAATTGGGTCTAAGCATTTGATACAGGGATTAATGGTATGCAGCGTCTGGATTACGTAGTACTGGCTGTTTACTGAAGACGAAGACCCACCCTGGTGTGGGTGGCACCAGTCAATAGGCTTGAGCCGATGGAACACAAAGGAACGGAAAGAGGCAGGCTCGCCACTGCCTTCTCCCTCCCACCTGCCCTTTCATAGACTGTTTCTGCTCTGCAGTGCCCTTGTGCCACGCCACCGGCCTTGGAACCCACACTACGGACTGAAACCTCTACAAACTGTGAGCTGAAGTAAACTTTTTTCTTTAACTTGTCAGTGTCAAATATTTTGTCCCAGTAATGAGAAAAGTAACCAAACTCCCACTTTGTCAGAACATTTCCCAGTAAACTCTTTCTCTTCATTTGGTGGCATCTGCAATAGTGAATCTAAATGACATTGGAGGTTTCATACTTTGTTATGAAAATCCATTGTATTTGCTGCACTCTGCGGGGATCTTTTACCTGTGCATGACTTTGTTTCTTCATGCATTGGCCACTTGGAAAACTCTGGCTGGCCTGGGGTTACAGCCCTTCCAAATGCCAGCCTATTTATGATGCAAGATGCAAAAATTATATTTGTTAATGTAGAAAATCTCATCAGAACACCTTTATATTATGGCAAGCTCTCAAATACATCTTTTATCAAATTTGAATTTTCATTTGAAAGCTTCAGTTTTATTACTGGACACAAATTTTGTTCATCATTTTATTTAAAATAACACTTGACTGTGGATTTTTGAAAAAAATGCCTGCCAAAATACCCAAGTCTGAATTGACCATAATTCACCTGTTAGTTTTTCAAGTAAACATCATGTTCCATGGCAAAAACATCTGGTTCTGCTTGAACCCAAAAAACAGACACCTGCTACCTCTGGAGACCACAGCCACCCTTAGGTGAAGTGCTGCTGTCACACCTTGAGAAAGAGCAAAAGATGCTGCAGTGCAAGCTTCAGTGCAGCGGGATGCCTTTCATTTTTAATTTGTTTCTTCCTCAAACCAGGTGGTGCTGTAGAGTCCGTGGCTGCTGGAATGGTCCCTGAGACCACTTTGGTGTCTGCAGAGACATCAGCAGTGCCGTTCACTGTTCTGCACCATCAGTCCAATGTCAAGTGGTCAGCAAGGTAAAGGATACCGTAACATAAATCCCTGCAAAGAGTCTCGGGGCTCCCTGTGCTTTGAGAAGTGCTTTTTAAAAAAAGCATATCCCCTCTCTTGTATCATTCACTTATAAAAAGTTAATGTTTCATAAAATAAACTACATTAATATCACATCTAATGCAATTTTCTTAGTATTATCTAATAACAGCCATGCCTGAATTTCCCTTGATACCTCAAAAATTTTCTTTACAGTCATTTTGAATCAGAATTCAAGTGATGTCCACACATGTTATTTTCTCTAAAAGGTCGATTTAAGTGTCCCCCCCTCCCATTTTTATTCCACTTGTTTGTTAAAGAAAGTGGATCATGATGGCATCTCAGTGTCATTTAACAGGGTTTTTCAGCTCTCATATTTCTTGAGGGTTCAGCTTGCTGTAGAACACACGTATCCGACCCCACACTGCTGGTGACTGCATTAGGTGATTCTTGCTGTAAGATTGTCTCCTGTGGGGATCGCACAGCCCCAGCCCTGGTACCCACACATGGGGGCCTCAGTGCCTTCGCTCCACAGCCAGGACAACAGCACACCTCTAGATGTGCCTAGTGTTCTCTGCGAGCCAGCATCACTCCCAGTTGTTGAGAACCACTGCTCTTCATGTGCTACCTGCAAGAAACAGCAGATTTTTAATTTAGGTTCAGCTTCAGTTCCAGCAAGAATAAGTCAAAAGTGAAGCAGAGTATTTCTTACTACATCTCCATAGTGTCTGGTTGCCCAGTTTTCTCAGTAATGCTGAGATTTATTCCTGAGTTTGTGTGGACAAATAGACCATCAACCTTAAAAGTCCCCAAAACTCTACTGACAGTTTTAGGGTTTATGCATGAATGCAGCCTGTGTCTTGATTTAGTCAGGAATCTTAGCATGGAGATTTGCTTTTTCTCTTTCAGTCATCTGCTTCTTGTTACCTTGAAACTGGAACTGTGTGAGTCAGCTTTCTGCCCCTATAACAAAGTCCTTGAGATAGTTACCTTTAAGGTTTACTTTGGCTCACAGCTCCAGAAGCTGCAGGTGGGACTGGAGCTCACTGTGGAGAACAAGATGGGCCAAGGCTGGGGCCCAGAGCGCATCTGGGTCTGTGCTGCTTTTCCAGGCTGGGGCCACTTCCTCCTTGGGTCCAGGACCTTAGTTGATCCTAGGGAGAAACAAATCCCTGAGGCCCTTTTAGCCCTAATTTCTACACACAGACAAAGCATGTCTTCCCAGGGAACAGAGAATATTGAGAGTAATAGGCTCTGCCAATGTGCGGATGAGGCTGCTTCTGATAAGATCAGCCTTAGGGAGGTATAGATGCTCACAAATCCAGATTCTGGTCTGGGAAGATGGCAGAGCGGTAAGCAGCAGAGGCAACAGCCTTACTGAGAGTTGCTGTCCAAACTCTGGAATATAGCAACATAAGGACAAGAAGGAAGAAAATGGGTTCCCTGGACTCAGGAAGAATCTGAGGCCTGAACTGAAGCCCTTGGAGAAAGTAAAGAGAGAAACTTCAGTGAAGAAGGAGGTAGCTGGCGGTGTCTTGTCCCTGAGACAGGACTCATTGCATGAGAGCAGTTCAAACCTGTGGGTGCACAGTCATGGTGACGGTGACAGCTGGTGATCCTAGAGGCCTCTGCAGAGAGGTGCAGCACTGAGGGGACCAGTGGATGTGGAGGGGAGCTGAGGACGTGAAGGACTGCACTGACTGGTGGTGAATGCAGGAGTGGGGAATGCAGGGGTCTCATTCTTGCAGCAGGAGAAAACAGCTGGCCTGGAGGCATCTTGGAGATGCGCAGCTTGAGATCAGAACTCAGAACTGGCTCCCTCTAGTGGCTCCCAGAAGGGCTCAGATGCATGGAAAGTGCTGGAAAGAAGGCGAACCAATGTAACTGGTCTCCACCAGAAAGTGCACCACCCCACCAAAAAGCTGCTGCTGGTGTGCTGGGACAGACTTACACGGATCAAGGCTGTCTCCACAGCTTGTCTGCCAGCGACAGACCTGGACAAACCTGGAAGCAGACTTTTTTCTGTCTTCTCCCTCCGCTCTCTCATGCTTGTCTTTGAATCTTAGTTTTTGTTTGCTTATTGTTTTTTTTTCTTTCTCTTCCATGTTTGGCCTTATTTTATATAAGTGTGAACATGGTTTCTAGCCTCCCTGTGGCTCCATTCTGTCCTTTTCACCTCTTGCTGCATTCTTTCCCTTCAGTCTTCTACACCAGCTTCCCAAAGTTCGTGTGATCTCCCTTGGCCCTCTCACTTTACTTTTAATCTCTTCCTGTCTTCCAGTTCTCTGTTTTCTCCTTAAACTATATTAAATTTTAACCTCCAAGGGCAAAATTGACATACCAATTGACATATCATTGTATACTGCATATAAGTTTCTGGTTTGTTTTAGATTGTGTTATATAACCATAGATCTAGTTCATACAGTTAAAATGGCAAATTAAGGGTTATCTCAGTCTGTTATTTTCTAGGCTGTGTGATGCTGTTGGTACCACTACAGCCAAAATTGGCTTAATAGTTCTAAACAGCTGTTGGTCCTGGTATTCCATAACCAAAATTGACTAAGGGTCACAGAAAATACTGTGGCACAGTGCCAAAGAACCAGGGGCTGAGCCAAAAAAACAACTTCTCATCTCCAACAAACTGAAGAGCTAAGATCTTTTAAAAGACTCAAAACCCAAAAACCAACTATACCCAGAAGATACCTCTGAGGAGTAGTCATCACATAAGGATTCTAAATATCAGCAATAAAACAACCTACTATAGGCAATTTATGAGCATCCCCCCAGAATGAAACTTAAAAAAAGAAAGGAAGAAATAAGAGAAAACAAGCAGACACTTAAACAAAATGCAACCAGAGACATCAAGTTTGCTAAGTGCAAATCCAGTGGGTAATAAGGTGAGGTGATCAGAAAGCCTCCCACCAGGCCTCTCTGAAGTAACAACAAAAAAGCAATTGAATGAGGCTCAGGAAAAATAAAATCAGAAATAATCTCTCAGATAACTACAGAGATGATATCCAAAATAAAGAACATGGTTAGTGGTGCTAGACCAGATATAAACAAACAAACAAAAAAAAAAATAGATGAGCTCAAAAAAATTAGGAAAACTCAGAAAATGAAAGAAATGCAACCCAAGAAACAGATTCATACAGATATCCAGGAGAACAAAAATTCCTTTGAAAATATTTGAAGTTGATTAGGCCAGTGTGAGGACAGGATCTCAGATATTGGAGACAGGCTTGCAGTGAGTAACCAGGAAATGAAAGACTTCTCAAAACTAGCAAAGGAACATGAGAAACCAATTCAGCAGCTGCTAGATGAGACAAAGAAGATTAACAAGATTGATTGGATTCAATGAAAAAGCAGGAGATACCACAAATGACATCAAGAAAATGTTCACAGCTATCATGATGGAAAACTTTCCTGATAGAGAAATAGAATTTGACATACAAGTAAGTGAAGCATATAGAAATCTAACTAGCTATGACCAAAAAAAATCTACATCCAGGCATATCATAGTCAAAATTCCAGAAATTCAATGTAAAAATAGAATATTAAAAGCTGTGAGAGAAAAGAAACAAGTCACCTATAAAGGAAAGTCCATCAGAATCACAGCTGACTTCTTAGCAGAAACTCTCACCTCAAGGAAAACAACTTTTAACCCCAGCTGATGCACCTTGCAGAACTATCTTTCAAAACTGATGTAGAAATAAGATACTTACATGACAAATAACAGCTGAGGAAATTTATCCACCAAATCAGCACTCCAAAATGTTCTGAAGAACATTCCAGAAAGAGATTATAAGGACTACAGCCCCATGAACCTCAACAGAAGGAATCCATTGCAAGGCAGATAATTAGAGGAAAGAGAAAAAGAGCGAAGCCAACAACAGGAAAAATCATGACATGGACAAGTCAATACATATTGATGGTTATAACCATCAACGTTAATGATCTCAATCAAAAGACCCAGACTGGCAGAATGAATCAAGAAGCCAGATCCAACAATATGCTGCACACAAGAAACACATTTAATGCAAAAAGAAATTCATAGACTGAGAATCAAAGGCTGGAAAACAATACTCCATGTGACAGAAACCTAGAAAAAAACTAGGGGTAGCTATTCTATTTGCTGAAAAAGTGAATTTTAGACCAAGACTGAAGAGAGACCAAGAAGGTCACTACATCCTCATAAAGGGAATGATCCAAGAGGAAGAGATAAGAATCATAAATATGTATACAACAAATACCAGTGCACCCAACTATATAAAACAAATGCTAATGAACATGAAAAATCAAATAAGTCCTAATACAATTGAATTGGGAGACATTAATACCCCACTACCACAAAAACAGATGAACTAGACAAAAAATCAATAATGAAATATTAGAACTGGATCAAACTTTTGAACAAATGTAGCTAGTAGATATCTATAGAGTGTGTGACCCCACAACATCAGAATACACATTCTTCTCAGCTGCACATAGGATGTTCTCCAAAATACAATATGCTTAGGTAAATGCAAAGGAATTAAAATTATCCTGTGCATACTACCAGACCACAATGCATTGAAATTGGATACATGGCAAAAGAAAGCACAAGAACTTCATAAACATATGAAAATTAAGTACTACTATCCTAAAAAACCAATGGGTTAGACAGAATTAAAGAAGAATTAAAGAAGAAATTGGGCAATTTTTACAGATAAATGATGACAGTACAACATACTGTACTCTATGGAACACAATGAAAACAGTCCTAAGAAGGAAATTTATAACAGTAAATACCCATATAAGGAAAACAACAAGTGCATTTAAACAACTTACTGGTGAATTTCAAACTTCTAGAAAGTGAAAAGCAGATTAAGCCAAAATCTTGTATGAGGGATGAAATTATAAAGATCACAGTAGAAATTAATGTCTTGGAGACTAAAAAACAATACAAAGCATCAATAAATTGAATAGCTGGTTCTTTGAAAGATTAAATAAAATTGATACGTCCTTAGCCAACCTTATCAAAAAAAGAAAAGACTCACATTTATGCAATTAGAAATGAAAAGGGTGAAATCACAACAGAACCTGCAGAAATCCAGAAGATCATCTCTACCTGCTTTGAAAACTTGTATTCTAACAAGATGGAAAATATAGAAGAAATGGGCATTTCCTAGATATATATGAATTGCCAAAGCAGAATAAAGAATATATAAAAATTCTAAATAACCCAGTATCAATAAATGAAATTAAAGATACAATTGAAAACCTATCAACAAAGAAAAGTCCAGGCCCTGATAAATTCACTGATGAATTCTACAGGAAATCTAGTGAATATTTAACACCACTGCTTCTTAAACTCTTTAATGAAATTGAAAGAGAAGCAATGCCCCCAAATTCATTCCTGGAAGTAAGCATTACCCTGATACAAAAACCAGAAAAGCACCCAACTAAGAAAATGAATTGTAGGCCAACTTCCCTAATGAACATTGTTGCAAAAATCCTCACTAAGATACTGGCTGTCTTAGCTACTTTATGCTCCTCACTGAGACAAAATACCTGATGCCCAAGTTGGGAAAGGAAAGGTTTATTTCTTACAGTTTTTGGAGGTTTCAGTCCACACTCAGTTGGCTCCAAAACAGGCAGGCATGGCTGGGTCGCAGCTCACGGCGGCTGCAAACAGCAAACAGGAACCAGAAAAGAGCAAGACACACCTTCTTCCTGCCATTACATCACATCCTGGCTCCCACCCCTATGTGGGTGTAACACTGACACCATCAATCCAAGCACTAGACAATGAACCAATCACAAATGCACAATGCAAATGCATGAGGCCTGGGGGCCACAGACATAAACCATGACACTGGCAAAGAGAATACAGCAAATCATCGAGAAAGTTTCACATTATGATCAAATGTGATTCATCCCAGGGGTTCTGGAGTGATTCAACATAAATAAATCAATAAATATAACATACCATATTAAGAGAGCCAAGGTCAAAAGTTATATGATCATCTCAATAGATGCAGAAAAAGCTTTTGACAAAGTTCAGCACCCATTCATGATTAAAAACCCTATGTAAAACTGAAATAGATGGTCTTTATCTCAATCTGTTAAAAGCTATCTCTGAGAAACCAGCAGCTACCATTATATGAAATGGTCAAACACTGAAGGCTTTTACTCTAAATCAGGAACAAGACAAGGAGGATTCCACTGTATCCACTCTTGTTCAACATAGTACTGAAAAATTTAACCAAAGCAATTAGACAAGAGAAAAATACATAGAATAAAAATAGGAAAGAAAGAAATTAAACTATTGCTATTTGCAGATGACATGCTACTCTACATAGAAGAGTATAATTTCCTTTCCAAAAAGGAAATTATAGATTTATTAAGCAAATTCAGCAGCATAGCCAGCTACAAAGTTAAGGTCAGGTACGAAACACCTTTTGCAATAGCACCCCCAAAAATGAACTACCTAGGAATCAATTTAATGAAGGATGTAAAAGAACTCTATTTTGAAAACTACAGTACTCTGAAAAAGGAGACTGAAAAAAGATGTTAGAAAATGGAGAGATATTCTGTGCTCTTAGGTAGGAAGAACCAATATAGTGAAAATGGTCATACTTTCAAAACTGTTGTACAAATTCAATGCAATCCCAATCAAAATTCCAATAACTTATGTCACAGAATTAAAGAAAACAATCCTAAAACTCACCTAGAACTAGAAGAGACCTAGAATAGCAAAGGAAATCCCAGGAAACAAAGGCAAACAAAGGTATCATAACCCATGACTTGAAATTAATCATATTATAAAACTACTGTGATGAAAGCAGCATAGTACTGAATAAAAAACATATCCAAAGACCAGTGAAGCAGATTAGGAGATGCAGAAACAACTCCGACACACTAACCCACCTTATCTTTGACAAAGATATTCACTGGAAGAATCTTCTTTAATAAATGATGCTGGACATGGAAAGACGGCAGAACAGCAAGCAGCAAAGGGAAAAGCCTGTCAGAGAAACAGCCCAGATGCTGGAATGTAGCATCCTGGAGAACACCGGAGGGGGAGAAATGGGTCCTCTCAACCCAGGAAGAAACTAAAGTGAAGAGACAGAGAGAGAGAGAGAGAGAGAGAGAGAGAGAGAGAGAGAGAGAGAGAGAGAGAGAAGAAAGAAGAAAGAAAGAAAGAAAGAAAGAAAGAAAGAAAGAAAGAAAGAAAGAGACAAACTTAAACAGAAGTAACCAGATGTGCTCTCACTGGAGCCAATCCCACTGGGTACAGAATACCACTGGAATCTGGAGATGCATGGTTTGGGGCTGGCAAGCCAGAAGGCCTCAATGAGAAGACAGAATCACAGAGGAGAGCTGCAGATGGGAGAACTGCACTGATTCCGTGGTAAGTGTGGGAGACTCAGTCCTCCCACGGGAGTGGGCAATTGACCAGGCACCATTTTGAAGTCAGGCAGGATAAACCCAGGACTTCAGCTGGCTTCATTCAGCCTCTCCTAACACAGCAGACTGGTGAAAATTGCTTGAATTAAGTCCTGCCCCTGTGCGCGATCCAATAGCCAAGGCTGAGGTTTCCCTAAAGCTATCCCTGGCGAACTCCAACTGTGCAGCACACACAAACATGGTGAAGACTCCTAGTGGTTATATAGCTCAGAAGGGAGGGGCCAGCCTGCCCTGCTCCTGCTTATATTCCAGTAGTCACCAGCAGATTAGGGAAGGCAGCAATTCCTAACCAGCATGCCTCAGAGTAATTATAACCAATACAGGAAGTGCCAGGGACCCCACTACCCACTTGTCTGGAAGAAACCAGGGACATGACAAGAGGAAGAAGCAAAAAGCAGTCTCCAGCCTCCAACCCAAGCAGTGCTGGCCCAGGAGAGGTAAACACAGAAGAGATCAGGAGCTGCACACCTGAAGTTTCTGAAGCAACAGCATCTGACATAAAGAAACAACTTCATGAAACTATAAAAGAACTTAAAACAGAAATACTAATACAACTAAAGGAAGCTATAAGAAAAATAGTAAAAGAAATGCTAAGTACCTCTCAAGAAAACACAATTGGGAGAATAGAGGAGCATAGAAAAAGGAGGGAAACCTGTGATGAAGAATATAAAAAAAATTAGGATACATGAAATAGATTCAAAGAGATCACCAGGACATTAAAAACTCCACTGAAAGCTGGCAAAACTGCTCAAAAGAAACTAAAGACAGACTTTCAGACCTTGAAGACAGGTTTGCAACTTGCAATCCTGAAAGGAAAGATCTCTTAAAAATAACAAGGAACCAAGAAGGAACAATACAAAGGCTAAAAGATGACAAGAGGATCTATATCTTAAGAATTAAAAATGTGAGTGAAGAAGCAAGGGTAAACACGAATGAAAGACAAAGGCTATTTACAGAAATAATTTTTTAAAAACTTCCCAAGCATAGGAAAAAGAAATGATATTTAGATATATGAGGCATACAGAGTCCCAGCCAGCTATAACCAAAATAGATCTACACCCAGACATATCATAATCAAGATCCCAGAAATTCACCACAAGAACAGGATATAAAAAGCTATCAGAGAAAAGAAACAGATCCCCTGTAAAGGAAAACCCATGAGAATCACAACAGACTTCTTATCACAAACCATCAAATCAAGACGAGCTTGGAGTAAAGTATTCCAAGACTTGAAAGAAAATAACCTCCAACCCACACTGATGTACCCTGAAAAACTATCTCTTAAAATTAATAGAGAAACAAGATGCTTCCATGACAAAGAGGAACTGGGGGAGTTCATGACCACTAACATGACCCTACAAAAAGTACTGAAGGACATTCTAGACAGAGAAAAAAAATACCATGATTTCAGGAACAGAAGCAGAGGGGGCTCACTCAATGGGGCAGACATTGTAATGAAGGGGAACAGACAACCAATGGCAGAAAAATATCAGGGCAGAGATGAGGCAGAGAAGGTTGGCCATAATCACTAATACAGATGGCTTTGATACACTAATAAAAAGAAACACAGGCAGAGTGGATCAGGAGATAGGGTCCATCAAGATGCTTTATATAAGAAATGTAATTAACCTGAAAGAGAGTTGATAGACTGAAAATCAAAGATGAGAAAACAATGCTCTATGTGACAGAGAACCAGAAAAAAGAGAGGTAGCTCACCCTTCAGCTGCAGATTGGTTGTAAAGACATGACAGTTTTATACAATGGAAGACTACTTAGCTATAAAGAAAGAAAACCTTGAGACTCTTGTAGGTAAATGGATACAACTTGAGATCATGCTCAGGGGTAAAAAGGTCCAGAATCACTTAAATAAATAGTGGGTTGCTCCCTAATCTAAAAACTAAAGGAGTTAGTGGAATACAAAATGTACAGTACACCCTGTGAAAGTTAAAGGGGAGGAATTGTCTAAAAAGGAAAGACAGTGGACATTGTTAATCTTGTATCATGATTTGAAACCCATATTGTTTTCATTGCTCTGCTTAGTTTGGTTTTATTCTGTTCCAGTCTGTCTACTTGCACTACATATGATGGCATGGACAGCTATTCCAAAATAGCAGGACATACTACAGTAACCATTTTTGATTTCCCATTAACTTAATTTGAAGCCCTGTATTGCTTTCACTGTCTTGTTTTGACTGATTTTACTTGAATCTGTTTTGTCTGATAGCATCAAGCCTCAGGGTATAGGCAACTACTTTGAAGACAATAAGATTTACTATGATACCCATTTTGGTTTGACTATTATCTTCTATTGAAGTCCTATAATGTATCCAATATTTTGTTTTTATTGATTTCATTCTGCACTGTTATGTTCAATTTTATTATGCCTGATGATATGGGCAATTCTACTGAAGATAACAAGAGACATTATGGTAACTATTACTTATCACCTTGTATTTTGGTCTTAAGTTATGTACTATGTCCATCCTTTTGTTTTGACTGACCTCATTTTGTTTTCTCTCATTTGGCTTTATTCTCTTCAAAATAAATTAAAAAAATAAATGGTGCTGGAAAAACTGGCTCTGCAGAAGATTAAAGTTTTACTCATATCTTTCACCATGAATTAAACTAAATTTGGAATGGATCAAGGGCCTAAATATTAAAACAGAAACAACAAATCTACTGCAAGATAAAGTAAATAAAACTCTTCAAGACATAGATGTAGGTAAAGATACTATGAACAAAACCCTGATTGCACAGGAACTGCCATAAAGAATCAACAACTGGGATCTATCTCATCTTATTAAAAAGTCTTTGCACAGCATGAGAAGCCACCAACAGAATGAAAAGACAACCCCTAATATGAGAGAAAATGTTTCCCAGCTGCTCCTCAGACAAAGGATTACTATCAAGAACACATAAAGAACTAAAAAGAAATCAGTGTTCTCAAATTTAAAGATCCAATCCAAAAATGGGCATCTGAGATGAACACGCACTTCTCAGATGAAGAAATACAAACGGCAAATAAATATATGAAAAAATGTTCAAAATCACTGGTCATTTAAGAAATGCAAATTAAAACAACACTGAGATTCCATCTCAACCCAGAAAGAAATCCACCTATTATTAAGAAATCATCCAATAACGAACACTGGAAAAAGGAACTCATCTCCACTATTGGGAGTGTAGACTGGTGCAACCACTATGGAAATCAGTGTGGAGATTCCTCAGAAAGCCAGGATTGGAGGTCTCATTGAAGATAGCCTCCTGAGTATCTTCTGAGAACACTTAAAAACATCATAGCACAATTATATATGTGCACCCATGTTTATAGCAGCGTAATTTGTAATAGCCAGATCTTGGAAACAACTGAAATGCCCATCAGCTGAGGAATGGCTAAACAAGATGTGGTATTTTTATACAATGGAGTGCTACTCAGCCATAAAGAAATATAGACTGGAGACTTTTATAGCTAAATGGATGCAACCTGAGAACATACTGATTTAGTGAACTAAATCAGAGATGGATGTGTAAGTGTGTATTGTCTCACTAGTGTGAGAA